TCTAGAATTATTAATGATATTTATACCTCGAATATACTCTTGAAGTAGCAATATCGAGAGAAAAAGTTTTATAATAAACTTTGGATCTATTTCATATCCTTTTATTATTGAGCAAAGTATCACACTCCTAAATAATATCATGAAACTTGTCCAATTAGATTTTCTTCATTCCCTGAAGTGAATGGAATTATACATAATACTGGACATGGGAGTAGTGAAATCTACCCAACTAGATTTGATGCATTCTCTGAAGTGAATGCAATAATATATGATGTTAACAAAGATCACAATTGAAGTAATGATCTTAACAATGGTGGCCACATAATTAAAAATAAAATTTACCATCAGAAGTGGTACAAATAATGTGGCATATATAGATATTAGTCATATATTTGTTGTACACCAAAATATTGAGAGGCAAATTTGGCTTTGGTAGTAAAATATTATTTAAAGGTTCCGAATAACAAATATTACTACATAAAGAAATGAATTTTATGCATAATGCATTATTCCAAATATATTTATTAAAATATGTATAGATAATGATTTAAATAAGTATGGTTTTAAACCAGAAGTTTGTAAATCCAAGTACTTTATTATTTGGCATGATCAATTTGACCATCCTAATCAATAATGATGCGAAAAAGGAAATTTTATCATTATATGGATATTTATTGAAGAACCAGAAGATTCTTCAAATTTAATGAATTTTTCATGCTTAGTTTGTTCTAAAAGTAAATTAATTATTGAGCGTCACCAAGAGTTTAAATTGAACTGTTTTTATTTTTTGGGATTTATAAAGGAAAATTATTGATAAATTTATTTGGATATATTATGGATGCATCCAAAAAATATTTACATGATTATTATTAACTTGTAACCTGAAATTTGCAAAGATTATTATCAATATGCAACCGGAAGTTTACATGATTATTTGTGCAAATAATTTGATTAAGAATATAATTTCCAGATTATGCTATTAAGCTGATTTATCTTGAGAATGATGGTGAATTTACATATCATGTGTTAATTGAAATAATTTTAGCGCAATTCGTTGTTGCTTTTATTTATACTCAAAATGATTTAGTATAATCATTTGTTAAATAATTGCAAGGATTATTATGAGAATGAAACTCCCTATTTCTAAGAGGAACATACTATTAAATTTAATAGCACTTAGTCGCATTAAGCCAATAACTTATTATAAGTTCTCCCTTTATAATTGATTTTTGGGTCACGAACCAAATATTACCCATCCACAAATTTTTAAATGTGCGGCGTATGTTCTAATTGCTCCACCACAACGCACTAAAATGATCCTCAAACGAGGTTGGAAAATATGTCGGGTATGAATTTACATCTATCTATCTAAAACTTTCAAAAATAAGAAAGTTATTTATGACCAAATTTGCTAATTGTTATGGATCCCGACATTAGGGGGAGAAAATAAACAGCTAAAAGAATAATTAATTGAAAAATAATTATCGTTATTATATCTTGATCCTCATACAAGGCAGTGTAAATTTAAAATTTTAAAAGATAATTCATTTGCAAATATTACAAATTAGTTGCAAGATATATTTACTAATCCAAAATGAGATAATTAAATCTCACATATTAACTGCAAAATGCTCCTATTAGAATTAAAGTTCTTGAAGGACAAACTGCTTATGCTAATGAGTCTAAGGCACGCCTGAAGCGTGATAGATCAATCCGTTTCAAGGATAAAAATTCTAGAAAAAGAAAAGGAGCAAATATTCAAGACGGTCAAGCTCTAGAGAGCAAAGTGCGGAAGAAGTCTCTGATATAAAGAATAAGTTTCCAAAAGAAATTCAAGTACTTGAAATCATTGAGAATAATGAGATCTTAATAAATTATGTCGTCTGGACAAAGGTTGAACCGATATAAAAAGTGCGGAAGAAGTCTCTGATATAAAGAATAAGTTTCCAAAAGAAATTCAAGTACTTGAAATCATTGAGAATAATGAGATCTTAATAAATTATGTCGTCTGGACAAAGGTTGAACCGATATAAAAATAAACGTCGACGATATTTTTATATATGATATACCGCTGGATATTGTGAAAAAAATGAGGATCTTGAGTATTGTCTATTGGGGAACGTATATATGAAATTGATTGCCAAAATAGAATGAAACATATGTTATTTAATTTACTTGAAAATTAAAATTTGAAATTTTGTGGGCATCAAGAGATGTCAAGCTAGTAGAAACAAATATGTATTTGTGCGAAATTGAAATGAGGCCATGAGATATAAAGCAAACTTGTTGCATATGTTTTTTCACAAGGAACTGATATTGATTAGGATAAATACCTTCATGTGGTAGATACAATTATAATTTGATTAGTTTGGTAATTTATGAAAATTCTAAATGTGTTTAATGAATTAATGATTGCTTATTTATATGCTAACTTAACGTAGGTATCTAAATGAAAATCCCTGAAGGATTTTAATTGCTTTAATTGCTTCAAGCATAAGTTCTCGAGAGATTTATTCAATCAAATTGTGTAGAGCTCTATATAGATTATTGGATAATGATATCCATGAAAACTGAAAAAAAAAACTTAAAGTAGCAAATCGAGACTTCGAAAAATATATTTAAGATTTCTATATGGATTAAAGAAATCTCAATACATATGGTAAAATTCCCTTAATGATGTTTATGGCTAAGAAAATATTATATTACTTTATGATTATATTCTTTTTATAATATTTTATTATTGAAAGCATACTTTTGATATTTTTTTGGATATTTGCTTTATAATCTGTATGAAAGCTTAATGATGTTTATGGCTAAGAAAATATTATATTACTTTATGATTATATTCTTTTTATAATATTTTATTATTGAAAGCATACTTTTGATATTTGCTTTATATGCTGTCATGAGTAAGGTGATCTCTTGATTAGTGAATATTTGTTAAAAGAATATTATAATAATAATGTTATATGTTCATAAAGAGATTTTAATATGAATTTGTCATTTATGAACATTATTGGAACTCCTCAAGAGCTTCCAAAGATTATAGATTTCTCAAAGAAAGAATTTGAGATGAAAGATATTGAGAATATAAAATTTTATTTCGATCTGAAGTTCAAGCATTCCATCAATGAAAATTTATCTATGAATCTACATATATGACTAAATTATTAAAATGATTTTATATGAATCCCAAGATCTCAAGATTTATCTTCATGAAGGGGAGTAAATATGCACGGTACTCTTTTTCCTTTTAACCAAGGTTTTTTTTTCCCACTAAATTTTTCTGGTAAAAGTTTTTAATGAGGCAGTATTTCAACGTGTATTTAAGAAACAAATAATGTACTCTTTTCCTTCACTAAGATTTTTTCCCTACTGGATTTTTTTTTCTTAGTAAGATTTTAACAAGATATATTCTTTGAAAAATGGGCATCAAAGAGAAGTGTTATAAAATAAGTAGATGTCCTATATGGACTAGAAGTCTATATTCTTAATTATTACGAACTCTATCTTCCTAATTTTGTGTAGGACTCTATTAGGATTCCATTTATGTAATTATATATATGCGGCTTTTTATCATTAATAAACACCCTCATATTCTTCCGTATTTTGCTCTCTATTCCTTCTCTCTAATTTTATATTATTTTATAACAGAAATTTATTGAATAAACTATAACTATACTTTTTTTTTAGAGTAATAACTATAATTTTTATTAGCCATGCAAATGTTGAATAAAAAGTTATATAACAGTTAAGAAAAAATGTACTATCTTTGTTCCATAATACTTGTCACATTTGAGGAAATAGCTTATTTCAAAATAGTTGTTACATTTGTAGTTTCAAAGAATAATATTTTTTTTTCCGTGTTTACTTTTTGTATATGCCTAATAATTATTACTTCAATTTAATAGTCTTCTTAGAAAATTAGTATTAAATTAAGGGTAATATAGTCAATTTACTCAATAATTTATTGTAATTTAGACATTTTTAATAGTTTTCTTAAGAGATGTGAAATTATAAATGTGACAAATATTATGGAATAGAAGTAGTATATAAAATATTAAAATAAATAGTTTGTTTAAGTAGTTTAACAAAATAATTTATGTTAGAAGTGTGCATTTAACAGTTTAAACCATTAAATTAAACTAAACCGTATCAAATTTTCAGTTTTATATGGTTCATATTTTTATGATTTTATTGGTTGAACCAGTAAAAAGGTAGACAAATACATAAATTAACCACTAAACTTTGTAATTTTAATCATATGGCACTCTGAACTTTATTGATGACTTATTATGCACTTATACTTACAAATTTTGATAATATTTTGTTGTTTGATATTTTTTCTTTTTGATATCGGGATTGTGTCCAGCCCTTAGGACTGACTAGCAGACAAATGTAGTTCTTGTTCTCCATCTCGGGTCCATGCAAATGCCCCCTCCATATGGACCGGACAAATCTCCAATACACATAGGGTATGATCCACGAGCATCGGCAATGTTATAATCCATGCAGGAATTGATTAACTGCTTAGATGCCCCTAAAAATTGAACCCACGACCATCAAAAATTTGTCTAGCGTGGTTTCCATTAGGCTAACCTTTGAGAGTAAATTTTAATAATGTTACATATCTTTCCATAATAAAAATAATAATTTTCAGAATTTTTGAATTTATATGCAAAATAATAGTTTGATATGTGGTTATTATTAATTTTAAAACAATAATTTTTTATTTTTAATTATTTAATCAATCTAATTTTATAAATTAAAGCGTTTAATAAAATAATTTTATAAAATAAAATTTGTAATGAATATAATTTTATAAATTGAAGTAAAATTATATTCAAGTATTTAATAAATTAAAGTAAATGTTGAGGAGCTTAAAGTAATAAAGTTCGGAGGGCGGTTGAGGTCTTAAATCAAGCTCGCTACCGCTAAAGCTCATTTTGACTTTGGATTTGGCTGGTTTAACCGACAAGTAAGCTTACATCAAACTGCGTCGTTTTGATGTAGGGTTTTCAATCTGAAGCCTAAGCATATAAGCAGCCGTAGACGTTCTTGTGTTTCTTTCGCTCGCTTTCTTTCGTTGCCGACTCTCTCGCAACTCGTCTCTTCCCTAAAGCAATTTATCGAGTCTGCTCTCTTCTGCTCTCATTCGTTGCTCGCCTGCTCTCTTATTCTAGGCTTTACTGTAATCTTGAGCAAATACCAAATCTCTCTTCTTTTTCTCTCGATTCGAATCCAAGTTCACCCAATCAGGTCCCCAACGGTTCTTTGTGGTTAGGTTTTATTGGATTTGGATGGGTACCGAGAGGAAAAGGAAGGTGAGTTTGTTTGATGTGGTGGATGAAACATCCATCTCAGCGAAGATAGGGAAAACCAACGGCGGAGGAGTAGCAGCGATAACGATGATGAACAACAATGGAAACAACAGTTTGGTAAATCGTTGGACTGGGAGGCCATACTCTCAAAGGTACTTGGAAATATTGGAGAAGAGGAAGACTCTACCAGTTTGGCACCAAAAGGAGGAGTTCTTGATGGCGTTAAAGAAGCATCAGGTCCTTGTTCTTGTCGGTGAGACTGGTAGTGGCAAAACTACTCAGGTTGGTTAGTTAATCTTCCCCCTTTTGAATGTTGATTATCCTCTGCTTTCTTATTAGGATACCTTCTTAGCATTGGTGCTTGATGGTTATATTTAGATGTTGGGACGGTGTCATAGGCCCTCGTTTTGAATGTTTATGAATGTTCCTTGTTATGACTATTATGTTTATGTGTGGTGAGCAAAGTCAAGAGGACTTTATGTGACGAGTTCTTATATTGTAAGCATCTGTGGAGTTCTTTGCTCCTGTATTTACATGGTGGACTAAATATTTGCAGAACAATTATTATGACTAAATAGTTTTACATACTAGACTGGCAGTCACTAAGGTAAACTGCTGTTGGGTTTACTGATAGCCAGGAAAAGTTGGATATTTGGTTTCCTCTTCTTTCTTAATATCTTATAATTTGATTTTCTTTGGTATCACAAACATGTTCCCTTTTGCATGAATTGTGTTGGAAAAGATGTTAATATATTTTTCTTAAATTTTTTGTACTGGAAGATTTCTGATGACTGTAGAACTTCACAAGCAATTTTTACGTTTCATAATTTGATTTCAAATTAATATTGTAGTTGTTGGACGTAGAAAATATTGGTAACCTGTTTCATGTTACAGATTCCCCAGTTTGTTTTGGAAGCTGTAGATATAGAATCACCAGATAAGCGTAGGAAGATGATGATTGGATGCACCCAACCTCGTAGAGTGGCTGCAATGTCTGTTTCTCGGCGTGTTGCTGAGGAGATGGATGTGACTATTGGAGAAGAGGTCGGTTATAGCATCCGTTTTGAAGACTGTAGCAGCGCGAAAACGGTTTTGAAGTGAGTTATTCATGCAATGTGTTTCTATTATTATCTCTATAACTTGATTTTACTATTGGGTTAAATGGCATGTTCCTGAATTTTTCGGCGTTTTTTAATGTCAGGTACCTAACAGATGGTATGCTTTTAAGAGAAGCAATGACTGATCCACTTTTGGAACGATATAAAGTAATAATCCTTGATGAAGCTCATGAAAGAACTTTGGCAACAGATGTGTTGTTTGGGCTACTTAAAGAAGTTTTAAGAAATAGACCTGATCTGAAGCTTGTTGTTATGAGTGCAACACTAGAGGCTGAGAAGTTTCAAGGTTATTTCAACGATGCACCTCTGATGAGGGTTCCTGGTAGACTTCATCCAGTGGAGATTTTCTACACCCAAGAACCTGAAAGGGACTACCTTGAGGCAGCAATTAGGACAGTTGTCCAGATACACATGTATGAACCATTGGGGGACATACTTGTTTTTCTCACAGGTGAGGAGGAGATAGAAGATGCATGTCGTAAAATAACAAAAGAAGTTGGAAATATGGGGGATCAGGTAGGGCCTGTGAAAGTAGTGCCTCTGTATTCAACTCTTCCACCTGCCATGCAGCAGAAAATTTTTGAACCTGCTCCACCTCCCCTGACAGAGGGTGGCCCTGCTGGTAGGAAGATTGTTGTGTCAACAAACATAGCAGAAACTTCTTTGACCATAGATGGCATTGTTTATGTCATTGACCCAGGCTTTGCCAAGCAAAAGGTTTATAATCCAAGAGTGCGTGTTGAATCCCTGTTGGTTTCCCCAATATCAAAGGCAAGCGCTCACCAGAGGTCGGGGCGTGCTGGTAGAACTCAGCCAGGGAAATGTTTCAGACTTTACACGGAGAAAAGTTTTCAGCAAGATCTTCAGCCTCAGACATACCCTGAAATACTGCGATCAAATCTTGCAAATACAGTTCTAACACTGAAGAAACTTGGAATTGATGATTTGGTGCATTTTGATTTTATGGACCCTCCCGCTCCTGAAACTTTGATGCGAGCGCTAGAAATGCTAAATTATTTGGGAGCTTTAGATGATGATGGAAACTTGACAAAGTTGGGGGAGATCATGAGTGAGTTTCCCTTGGATCCTCAGATGTCAAAGATGCTGGTTGTGAGTCCTGAATTCAATTGTTCAAATGAGATTCTCTCAATTTCTGCAATGCTTTCAGGTATTATCATTTACTTCCTTTTGTCTTTGTATTAGTCTTGAGTCTGGTCTTGAATAATATAAGTAGATGCCATTTGGTTGCATCATCATTGAATGCACTCCATCATATGGCATGTGCACAGTTTTCATTGCTGTGCATGGTTTTAGTTGTTCAACTGCTCGTGTGTGTATGCAAGTGTACGTACATGCGTGCAGTTGAAGAACTAAAGCCATCCAATTAGGTTGTCATCAGCCACTGTCTTATATGGGTACCATGCCCCCGGTTGGCATGCACCATCAGATTCTAAGTAAGTGCTGATGCAGATAGTTGCAGTTTCTCAGTATTATCTCATCTCATGAAGTAAATGGTGTCGTCTCGCCTGTATGCATCTGCTGACCTACAATGGGCCTCTTCTGTGATAACCAAATTCTTTCTTTAGTACCAAATTGCTTTGTCCGCCCTAGGGAGGCTCAAAAGGCTGCTGATGAAGCAAAAGCTAGGTTTGGGCACATAGATGGAGATCACCTGACGCTGTTGAATGTATACCATGCATACAAGCAGAACAGTAAGTGATTGCCGATTGCTTTTTTTTTTTTTTTTTTTTTTTTTAGGTTTGGGCACATAGATGGAGATCAACCTGAAGACGCTGTTGAATGTATACCATAGGCATACAGAAGCAGAACAGTAAGTGATTGCCCGATTTGCTTTTTTTTTTTCTTTTTTTTTTTATTACTACTGTTTATTCTCTCTAAATGTTGAATTATCTGATTAGAATGTCATTTTTGCTCCCCCACCACCCCGCCCGCGCCCCCCACCCCCTCCCTTCAAATGGATTGCAGATGAGGAAATCCAATCCCTTGTGGCTATGACATAGAGATTTTGTAATCGCACTGAGCGGGCTGCTCAAGGCCTGCTTGATAATGTTTAGACAACAGCGTTGCTATCGCATCATGGCAAGGTTTCAGACCTTAAGCTTATGCAGCACTGGCAAATTCCAACAAGCCGCGAATTCTATGTCCGAACATAAGAAGGCTATGCTACTTGGATATTTTATGCAGGTTGGCTCAACCGTGGGAACGAACTCGGGCACTAACCTGACAGTGGAAAGACAACGCAGTGATGGTTTAACTTTTCCCTTTAATTATTCATTTTTCTTGCAACACCAACTTTAGATATAGAAATCCTTAGTTGAGTAATCCTTTTTGTCTATTTTCTACAATGTTTCCTGTCAATGCACTTTTGTCATGTGCTTAGTAATATAATGTACCGGTTTGTAGTGTGGTTATTAAATTGTATTAGTTCGGTTGTGTCTTTTATCCCAGGAGATGCACTGTGGTTCAGTTTTAGTTGATGATGTGCGAGATTAGGGAACTGTATCGTGCAGTCATATCTTTGGTTGATTTATAATTCTGCAGGTGGAGTGGGCAACTCGAATGAGTTACCATCCTTCAAATTGTCTAGAATCACTAAGCCGGAGTGGGTATTTATAATGAAGATACTGTTCGCTAAAATAACGACTTGATGAGACGAGTCGTAAGTCGGAATTATTATTCGTACAAGTGCCGACTGATATTCGTCGGTGAATGGTTAGTTGTCCAGTTTCCTCTATTATTTGTTGCAATTGATAAAGTGTCCCCATGTAAGTTTTAAAGATCTGTGATAAAAATGTCTTCTGTTATACACAGGATTAGTAGATGTTTTTGCCAATACCGCATTACTATTGATTTAGCACCAACTTCCCTAGATTGTGAGGCCAAGCGAGTATCCTCGAGAGACTTTACAAGAAGCGGGAAGAGGGAGAAGGAAGAGAGCAAGATAAAAATGAAAAGTGTGAAGCAATGTCCAATAGTTTTGGATTTATTCAAACTTTTCTTCACCGCTGATAGTTGGTGCACATTGGAGCTACCTTAAAAGTGCTATTGTAATGACAACACTCACTCCCACCTTGGTGCCAGCCATCTCCCCTTTCCCCTGGTTGCTGTTATAGCCACTTCGGTCCGGTTTCAACCAGGCCAGCTCCATTTATTTCGCTTGAAATTATAGGTTTAGAAAGATTAGATTCTTCCTATTGTACCCTTCGCAATTCACATTATTTTTTAGATGTGGGCTAATGGCGTTGGTTGCTATAATTTAGTTTAGTGAACATCGGAAAAGTGGAACCATTTATGACTAGACTTAAACTGACCCTCTGCACTTCCCAGTCCCCCATCTCCTACTAGTAGGTTGGAAAACTGGCAATTCATGGAATTGTTTTCTCTCCAGTACGCTACTTTCATTTCGGTAGGAACATACGCTGGTAAAAGCGTTCAAAAGTTAAAACTCCCATTTATACGTTGGGCTCTGTCCAATTCGGCTGACTGAAATGTTTTTTAAAAAAATTCAAAAAAAAGCTCACTCGTGCTGAACGTAGAGTTGATACTTGAAGCGTTCTTGCTGTCAAGATAAAAGCTTTAACACCCTTTAACTCTCCTACGATGCTTTGACTCTCTAAACCTACGGACCAGCGAAGTACTGGAAATCACGAGAAAATCGCATCAGAGCCAAAGGCACAGACGACCTTGTGGACCATCGGCTACAAACATATATTATTCCCCTAATAAGGAAAAAACTTCATGACGATGAGAAATGCGATAACACGCACTACACTATGTCCATCTTAGGCTATAATAGCTATCCGCAATGCCCCTCTACCCTAGTTAACTCTACCTAGTTTAACTCTAGAGAGGTTAATCTAATACATTAACTATGCCGACACAAATTCCCTTTTGGTAGTACCCCGCTCGGCTAGGGACTAGGAGCACATCAGAATCTCTCAATAACTATGGAAATTGGTAAATATTGTAATGAATTTGTCTTTAGTAAACCATTTGTGGGGGGTCAATAGCTTGATCCATGCAACAAGAGAGAGGTCACAAGCACAGTGGTGATAGATGGAATTTTAACAGCTTTCAAGAGTTAAAATGGAAACCCCAAGATACAAGGTGTCGGAAACCTGCTGTTAAAAGTCTATGATCTAAACTGCAGCAATGATATTGATTTCTTCTTTATTACAAGAACAAAGTCGTTGTCAACTCAGCTATCAGACTCGCCGAGCCCGCAGTCCTATAAGAGAAAGAAAGGCAATCGATCATGTGCAAAGGCCATAAGAAGGAACGAGAACCTCGGTCAAGGTCGCGTTGGCCCAAGCAGCCAAAGCATCTTCCCAACAGGACCAATAACATCAGCCAAGAATTATTATTTATGTATACATGAATAACAAGTCTGATTTGGACCGTAAAAATAATCCTTTCCATGGTGTAATGTCGTTTAACGGTTGCCTGCATCAACCATGTGCGTGCCTTTCTCGTAGCGAATAGGGACTCGGTACCCTTTTACCAATCTTTCGACAAATTAAGAACTATTGGCTCTTTGGAGCCATTCGAGCTACCTATCGGGTGCTTCTTTTCCGCTTTTTTGAAATGTACAATGTTGTGCATATTACTTATAACATTCAAGAAAAGACAATCATTTAAAACGACCAATAAATCTTTCCCACATAGACCCAACCAAAAAGATTCAGAACAGTTCCTATCGATAAAGTTGAAGAAAAATCTGGTTGAAGAACATCAATACAGGAGAAAGTAAAGAATGACATCCCTCCTATTACTAAACACCAAGCACCACTCCCGTGTAAACTAGTTATCATTCTATATATATGTTAATTATTAAGTCAGCTCTCTTGCATTATCTAATAGTATGAAATTATTGAGATACTTTCAGGACGCCTCACTCATCTCAACGGAGCGCGTAAATTACTATGAAGGTATGAGAGATCCCATCATTATGGTACTTACTATTTGCATCGAATGCTGTCCCCTTAAACAGTGACCTAGATCATCAATACATTAGGTTGATGATTATCTTATAGTTAAAAAAGAGAGAGACAAAGTGTTCATACATGTTTATTTCTTCTTACCTTACCTTGTAGTGTTGCTTGTAATTGCGTTCCCACGGAACATTGATTACCTCCAGAAAAATAAACTAAAGCAATATTTATATACTTTATTTTCGGACGAACAAAAGGAAATATACATTAGAGAGGAAACAGGAAAAATTTTGCAGGAGTGTGGAGAAATAGTAAACTAACATTAAAATATAGCATGCAGCAACTGATGTTATTAAGAATAAAAGAATGTTCATGATCTATCATATTCCCTATATAGGAAAATAAGAAAAACAATATGTACAACCTTTATTCCTCAGTATGCTAAAACCTGATCAAAGCAGTAAAGCTACAAAATAATTCCCTAACTCCCTACAGGAAGACAAAACTGCAAAGCACCATGGTGTGCAAACAATCACTTGCACAACTTCTAGACTTAAGAACAGACAATGCCCAGAATATCATCAAAATTTATCAGACAAAGCAAAGCAGAGCAGGCATCCATGTTATCACTTTTCTCAACTCGCGACACTATTTTATAGTTTCTAACACACTTACAAAGCAGCTGCCAACGCGCCACGCGCGCCCTCTGCCGACAAAGCCGACGACCACGCGCCAGCCCCTTCCCCTGCACGACCCACTGCGCTCTTGCCGCAAAATCACATAGAATATGCAAGTGAATGAGGACAGAAAAGTGGTGAATTTATAAAGAAATAATTCAATATTCATTTGCTCTCATGATGTAACAGAGTGCCAAATATCAAGTGATTTCACAGCAGAATCCTGATTTGAGCCTGACGTAATAACTAAAACTGCAGTTCATCTAAGGATTATGGGTCATTTCTTGCATCAAAGCAAGACGAGGTATAATCTTGATGCCATTTAAAAGAGAATTAAAAACTACCCGGCATAGTCATAAAAGTATTTTCTGTGCACAGAAGGGCCAGCTAAATGGTCACTTCACGGTATCAAACCTATTCATCTGCATTCCTCCATGCATCTCTGAAACAGCTTTGTTAAATTGGCAAAATACCAGTAGAGTTTCTCTTATTTAGAAAATGAGGCATCAGTATCAGACAGCAGTCACAATGAACCACCTGGCAATGACAGAAAACTATCTCAGAAATATTCATGCTTCCTGCACTTGAATTTTTTCTTGGAAATATGCCAATCATAAATAAGAAGCTCTTATTTGCTCTAACTGGCAAAGCTAATTACCAACGAAATGGGAAGTGCAATTAAAGATAAACGGGAATGCTGCTAGACTTGAATGATGCAGATTTCTTGCCTCACAATAACCACCAACTTGATTATAGCCAATTGTCAAAAAATGAGGGAACATAAACTTGTATTTCATAATCATATTACCCTTAGTGACATCATACTGAACATACCTAAGATTTTAAGAAAGATGTTCATTAGCGACACAAACAGAAGCACAACATAATTAATCCAAAATATATTCCATTCAGGGCAAGTTCATCCAAAAAGTTTATGCACTTTGTGTATTCAGAAAACATAGAGCAGCGTAGTGCAGGGGGGCATGGAATTTAATCCTCTGTAGAAACTCACCACGACCAGGGCAGGCCACTGCACTTGATTTTTTGCTTAATTTCAATCATAAATAGAGAGCTC